ACTTGATTGTGTCAAAGGCTTTGCGAAAATCGAGCTGAAGGAGAATGCCTGGTATATTTTCCAGTTCTGTCTGCTCTAAGAGGTCATATAGAAGACGTACATTCTGACCAATGAATCTGTCTTTCATAAAGCCTGTTTGGTCAGTATGTATTAGCTGCAGAAGTACCATTTTAATTCGTGTAGCTATTGCTTTGGATGCAATCTTGTAGTCAACATTTAACAAGGTTATTGGCCGCCAATTTGTGAGCTTCAGAGTGTCAGAATCTNCAAATGGTTGCCAATTTATAATAGATTTGAGGAAACTGTAGGAATAACTCTAAACCAAATAAGGCTAGGGAGTGTATTTCTTGCCCACAAATACAGGATTTACCTAAGGGAACTAGGAGGTAACTTCTCCTACACAACAGGATTTAGCTAAGAGAAGTGTGTGGGAAAAAATCACCAACACATACCAAAATAAGGTGTGTAAGGAAACCAAACTAATGTAGGAAAATAACCCAAATAGTAAGAAGAAAAATAACACAACACTAATAAAAAAAGTTTGAGAATTAGAACTGAAAATGAGCTAAAGTGACCTTGTCACATTTGCAAAGAAGTCTTCCATTCTTGATGTCTGATCTTCCCGATGCCTTGAAATCCATCACTGTATCGAGCAGTGATTTCCTGGCTTTCAGGTGTGAGATCTCTATCTTCTTTGACACTTTTGATGCCTGGTGGCTCTTCCTGGATTCTCAGGTCATTGGTCCCTCAGTGAAGAGCAATCGTCTCTGATCTGTAACATACCCAGCTCTTGAAGGGTGGTTTTGCTGATGAGGGGTGGAGAATTGATTGTTCCTCCGGTCACAAGAAATCTTGCGACTGCTCCACAGGTCTGGTTCCTTACAGTGACTAAACTCTCCTTTCACAGGCTACTCACTCTGCAAGGTGCTTAGCTTTACTCTGCTCTGTTGTAGTGTAAGTTTCACTGTACAGTCTTGAGGGCAGCAGTCTTTCCTGGACACAGGATGCCCTTTTAAAATGGGTGTTGCACACCCATCATGGGCATTGTACACTGTGAGATTACTTATGGAAAGGAGCAGAAATGGGAACTGCAAAATTGTGTGAAGTCAAAATTAGAGGCCTAAGCTTGACCAAATCTGAGTTGGAGTCAGAACATTTCCACCAAAATGTTGAAAAGGCTGAGGAGAGAACGTTCAGCAATTATTCAATTTCAACAAGTGAAATTATCAGCACTACAGTTAGTCTGAGTTACACATAAAAAGTTATAATTTAACATAGTTAACAGTGAGTAGCAAGAGGGGTTTGATGCCGTTTCTTAGCATTAGTTAGCATTTTGTTAGTGTTTGTGTTGCTAGGCATTTGTAAGTGTTTTTATAGCATTTTTTGGCATCAGTGGTTAACATTTAAAGCATCTTTTAGCAGTTGGGACTACCAGGCATGTCTCAGTATAGACTTCAAGCCTCAAAGGGGGAAAATCGTTTTTCACAAATTTCTTCCAAAAAAGCTGCCTAATATTAAAAGAATTAACCACAGGTCAAGAGTTTGTATGGAGAACTGTGGTTGAAATATAAAGAGTTTGAAAGGAAATTAGGAGATGACATTTAAGTCATTCAATGTACAAGTGATCTACCGAATAAAGACTCTTGAACATTCAATGTTGTAATTTTTTCTCATCCTGGAGAGTTTAAACGAGATTTGAGCTAACTTTGGTATATTTGTCCCACGGTGTTATGATAAGAGACACTTGTCTCTTGTTATAGATATCAAGAGGAAAAATGAGAGATTACCTCTTGGTCCAAGAATGAGTGGGGAGTTAGCTGCTGTAATGAAATAGAAAATGCTGATGGGCTAACATGAAAGTAGGTGTTGTTAATTTATTCTTAGGTTAATTATGGAAGCTGCACTTACCCCTTCTCTCACGTCTAGGACCTCATGTCCTTGCAATTGGTCACTGTGTAGTACCACTCTTTGACATCTGTGTATTGTAAAGTGCAGGGGCAGGTGATCAAGAGATCCTGCCCAGTCATACACCTCCTGCATAATTACATAGGCAAAATAATATTGTAAGTATCGTTTGCAAGCTGGGTAACAGCTGGCGTTTTAATGTATTATTTACAATATTTTTGTTATGGCAGTGGCTTTTTTGTCATAATTCAATGCATTTGAGGAATCCTGTCCTAGCTACAAGATAGCAAACAAATAGAACATCCTTGTATGAGGGTGAACATTTGCCTTTTCCCCTCAGTGAGATTTAATGTGAGGAATTACAGTACTTACCAGTAATTAAGCAAAGTAAATTGATAACAATTGCAAAATGATACTAATTTCAAAGGAAAACAGTTACTGCACTCATATCTGCAAAACTTTACCAACACATAGAAACAAACATAAGCGGGAGGTAAATGGATAAAACAGCCTGAAACACCAGACAGATTAATACACTGTACTGCAGAAAATGTGTATTGGAAAGCACCAACACATCTAATATGGCAGATTTGGCATTAAAAAAAAAACAGGAATGTGACAATTAGTTGGCCAACATAACACATGTTGTCAATTCAAACCGATATGAATTCAAATACAGATAAACAGCACTTATGCAATGAAGTATTTCTTTAGGAAACTGTCTTTTATAGTATAGCCATGGAATTGCTTCTGTTGTTTAACTATCTTTTAATTATGTTTTGACGATTTTTGAGGAGCCCTATCAGATTTGATTTTAGTGTATTTTTTGGACCCTGACATTGTTACATAACGAAAAATAATAATAAAATAATAAATGTATGGTTAATAAATGTATGGTCCATTGTAGCATAACATCTCGCACCATTCCTCCAACTTTCTCCTGAGAGAAGAAGAGGATTTAAATCCTTCATTTACATGAACATTTTTAAATCGATTTCCTTAGTTTAATTATTGCAATATCTTAGAGTGGTTTCTACTGAATGTTGAAGGTAATCGCTGACTGGCAATTACTTTGTTTTGGTTTTGGTTTTGGTTTTACTTACAGTTTGGAGTTTGGCTGAGCGGTCTAGTTGATAACTAATTGGTTTGGTTTTGGTTGTACAACATTCAATTTATAACCACTCTATCTATAGTTACACATATGTACTTACTGATTTTTTTTTTCTATTTCTACTCCTTTTTAGTGAAAGGCTCTGTGATAAACCCTATGTAATTAACATGACAAATCTGCATGTAAGCGAAGTGGCCCATCAGGCCTGAGCATGTTCAAGTTTCTCTAGCATGAAACAACTAGGAGTATTTCTAATCCCCAAGAATTGAATTCTAGTTCTTCGCAGGGTTACCCCCAGCATTAGATTTGCCAGTACCCATTTATATGTCTGGGCGGAGAGAGGCAATTTGAAAGTAAGATGTCTTGCCCAAGAACACAACGCAATGTTCCTGGCGTGTTCTAAGTTGGACTCAAATTGTTTATATCATTATATCTAAGTTGGCTGCATGCACTTGATTTAGTTGAATACATGCCATTGAGCAATTAGTGTGTACATGTATGGATCATTTCCCCCAAGCTGCCAGAGAGTGATTTAACTATGAAAACAAAACTTTTTGATCAATTGAATTAAAACAATTATTCACTAAGTTATTGCAAAATATCATGATTTGATATCATGATCAGATGAATTATTTCCTGAACCCAAATTGGGTGTAATATTTATTGATAATTTCAAGTCAATCATTTATTAATATCAACTGATTAATCAACCAAATGTCTGGGAATGGGTAAAACAACTAAAATTACACGACATTCTTAAGATAATTCAATACAGAATTATTTACCAACCATTAAAAACTTCCACACATTGTAGCATGGTGCCAGTACCAAAACACAGGATTTAGGGTTCTTCAACCCATATTTCACTTTCATTGCAAGTACAAAGTCTCATAAGTGAAACATAATTACAAAATAATGCAATTAGAATTTTGAAATAGTTTATACAGCACTTCTTTGTCAACCTTTTTTTATAAAAACTACAGTACTGTAGCAACAAAATGCACATGCTAGCAATAGCCTTTATCCTTATCTTATTTATGTGAAGGAGTCACCATACATGCCTTTATCTGCATGTCTGCTTTTGTGTTGTGAAATCCACAAATAGCAATTTTTTTGCTTAGCCACATTTTTCAACAGACTGAAAGTAAACAACATAAATTAAGGTGAATGAACAATGGAGTCACACTAACTCTGGTACGTAATCTAGATCACACTTAATTAATCAGTCTTTCCATTTTGAAGTAGATTACTTTTACTCTTCATGAGAGATCATGAAGAGATCATGAGAGAAATCTCACCCGACTAATTTTCTCTTGCATGGAAGAGTACAATTTAAGGGCAGAAGCACTGCCTCCATGACCTTTGAGTCCTTTGTACCATGCCATGTAAACTAAAAATAAAACAAAAATCGTAAAACTAAATAGTTTCTCTTCATTGTTTTATCTCATTAGTGGTAAGATGGCAATCAAATTTATACAGACAATAGCAAATTTCAAAATCACTTGCTGTAGTAGTGTGTGTGTAATCAGTAACTTACCTCTTGAAATGTGTTTGTTATGAATGGAAGAGTTGCATCTTGTCCTCCCTCTTCCAAGCTAGGCCTCTATGCATTTAAGGACTTCAGTAGTCCTTAAAACAGTCTCGTCTACAAAGAGGTGGAAATTTTTAAAAAAAGACTGACAGAATAGTGATGAGTATAATTATAAAAACTTATATGCAGGTTTAGAGACTTAGGTTTGACAACATTTACACATGCAACTAAATGATGCCTGCCAAAATTTGGTATTAGTTCTTATTTTTGCACTGGTGTTTACATGTGCTGTAACTGTCTAGTGACTACTAAGCATACCTGTGTCAACTCCTGCAGTGGATAAATCATCATTGACATATCCATCTGAAATATCAATTAATACAAAATGTATTAAGTAAAGTACATCTGGACCCATCGTGGCCCCTGCAATAATATAACATCCGTACACTCATCATTATACTATGACGACATATATAAATAGAAACGATTGTCTGCCACGTCTTTGTCTACATTATGAAGGTACATGTTTCATAGACACCCTTTCTAGGCAATATCTAACATTTTCTTGCAGAACCATACTGAGTCTGAAATAATAATAAAACACTTGCAAAGACTTGGTGCCTCAGCTTCACCTGTAAGTGCTATAAGTGATGAAGTGTTACTAATCAATTATTGAAAATAACACCTAAAGATAGCCTGAAGATCAATATAGTAGGTCTTATTCTGTTTTCAAAGCACATGATGTACTAATAACACAGTGCTTTGTGATAATCATTGGTGTGCTTAATTTCTACCTTAACCATAAGCCTCTGATTGTAGGTTTGCCACCATATAAGTCCTCTGTACAAATTCAGTTGATAATTCTGTTAATGATTTGTTACTACAGTCGGACCTGTATACAGGTGGCTGCAAAATACAGGATCACTAAAATATTCTCTGGGTGTGGTCTAATGATATGGTACTGTACTTCAACACAATGCAGAATGCATAATTAATTTCTTTAAAAACAGCCCCCCTCATGGGTATACATAGAAGCAATTGGCACTCAACTTTATTTGTTCAATTACTGTTATAAAATTATATGATTGAGAGAATAAATCATTGTGATTGGCTTAGTGCAGGTCTATGTAGTGTCAATTTTTAATTTGTTCTGCAGTGCAAAGTAACAGTCACCTGTTCTCGATTTATTCAGTCATATAACAAATGAGTAATTGTTTGAAAGCTCATGCAATTAAGGATTTACACTTCAAGTGAAGTTTCAAAATTCCTTCAAATTGCACGCACCCTTCAAATTGCACCCGCATTTATAAGATTATCTGCACTAAATATTAGGCCAATTAATAAAATAGGTTGAATTAAAAAGACCTGATATTGATGACTTGAACAATAACTGTAGGTGTCCACTTAGTCACTCTAAGCTTACTGCTCACCATCAGCATGATCATCCTCCGAGTTGGATGATATTGCCACTTGTCTGTTTGTCTTTTGATCTCGCCTGGGCAAAAGAGACAAAACCAATCATTTTTATAGAATAAGCTAGATAAGCCTGTGTAAATGATTACATAAATTGGAAAAAAATTCGTCGCTTGACACACGATCACGGCTTGACTGATTTGAATCCGAAGAATCTGACCTGTCATCTGTTGAAATTCAATTTGATTAACCTACATTACAATTGGGTCAAATAAAAACCCCGCAAAAAACATCTACAACAGAAACAAAACAAGGAAAACAGAACAAAAAAAAGGCATAGTGTATTGATCATACCAAATGTCACACCCATGGCACTTGCCATGGCAGTAATATATTGTCTTGTAGATGCTAAAACATTGAAGCAATTTAATTTGTAGAGGGGAAATATGATACCTATTTAAAGTTCAAGTGTCATATGTTCAAATATTAATAAAATGCATTTTTAAAGATTTTTTTGGGCCATATTATCATCAGATGGACATAACAAACCAACAAAACTTAACAAATTGAATTGAAAATTAGAAAGGGTCCCTTCCCCACCCATAAAGAATGACCAGTCCTAAAACACTGAATCCTTTTCAAAGTCTGAAGTCTTTGAAACCTAAACATTTCTTATGCAAGTATACATGTAGTCATCTGTCAGGAAAGAAAAGTAAATAGAATATTAATCTAAATATAGAATGACAGTTCCAGATCTTGTCTCTTAGCTCCCTTTCTTTGTGGTGCAGTCAAATGGATAAGTGTGGAGTGGAGGGAAGCATGGCTTGGGTTACAGGGGCTGATGAAGATGATTGTGTGTCTGGGATTGTTTTGGCAGATAACAGTGTGGCTGGGGGTGTAGATGGGGATGCAAGGGTGCATGGTTGTATGGATGGTGATGCTGTGAACATGGATATAGATGGTTGTGTGGCTGGGGGTGCTGTGGACAAGGATGCAGATATGGATGGTTGTGTGGCTGGTAGTGTAGATGAGGATCCAGATATGGATGGTTGTATGGATGATTGTGTGGTTGGGGGTCCAGATGGGGATCCAGATGTAGATGGCTGTGTGGCAGGAGGCGAGGTTATAGCTGAGGTTGTTGCTGTTGCAACAAAAGAAAAAATATCCAAATTAAAAAATATATCTCATACATAACATTGGCACTGGGCCTTTCCAGTATGGATCTGGCACATTTTTGAATTTAGTTGGTTTTTGAAAACCAGAAATACATGGCTTATTACTGTTTTCAGGAATGGAAACAATCCATTTGGCAAAATCTAGAAAGAAAGAACCAATCAGTGCTCTTAGATTTACCTCAGGACTAACTCTACATATAATAATGTTTATCTAACATAGTTTTTATTCAACAGCTACACATAGTTGCCCTAGACACAGTGAAGCTTATCAGATCACCATTCAGACAGTTGAAATACATTTTTAGCCAACCATTTTGGAGATAAGGTATAGTGCTTCAGTGTTCTAAAATGTGAGATGTGAGATGGGATGCAGTCTTCAACCAATCAGAACAAGTGCATCTCTACAAAACCCAAAGTAACTATACTACAACTGAAATCAGTCTTAATATTAATCTTATAAGAATAAAAGCTTCTACAAACCTGGATTTGGTAGCAACAGGAAAATCTTATCTTTTCTGTAACCACAGAAGAGGTTCATTATCTGCTCTTCATTTTGCACGCCAGTTGCCACCTACTTCATGACATGCCCTCGCTCATAGGATGCAGATAATTCTATACTGATTGAATAAATATATTGAGTACACAGTCAGTGCACTAGCTATACCTGGTGATTTCCCTGTACTGTAATATAAAATGGTGCTTGAAAGTTCAAGACTTTAAAAGAAATTAATAACGGTAGTTTGCATGTTTTTGTGAAGTGAATAATTTAATGTTTTCATAACAGTGTACTGTAGTTTTATATTAAATGATTGCCATTATCTTATGGGGCTACAACCAAAATTTGTAAAAGCATGAAAATATACTGTAAACGTTTAAAGGAGGGAACTTTTTTTACAAGTGTGAGTTGCAAGCTGAAGGGTTTTGATGAATTAATAGCTGTATTACCTCATCACAAATTCATTATTACAGGGTGGCGCAGCGGTAAGGATTCAGCTAGGGAATACTGTATATCAAATATAGCATGACCGCCTTTATTCAAGAAAGTCTACTTCTCAGACTACTCATGCTCCCAAAGCTCTGTCACACGACATCACGTCCTGCTAAGCCGCTCCCCACCTCCCATCAAAACAAAGAGATTACAAAGAACATTGCCTTTATTTAAAGAAAGCATTCTCCTGAATATATTAAGTGCTGTTTGCTGGGACTGTTACAACATGCTTGAAGCCTTTTCTTGCATGTTTCATTAATGTTTGTGCTGCTGGCGGGCACGTACGATCTACTTTGATAAGTAAAAATTTCACTGAACTGAAGCTATTGCATTTTTAAAAAACACAATTCCTTTAAATGCTGTTTAATCACGATTAGTCTTAATTTTCAGCATTCCACAAAATAACCCTTCAGCTTTCTTTTTTTCTGTGTTAAAGAAGCCACAAAACACCATATGGTTGCACCCCAGTAATTCGAACTTGGTTCTTTTGAATTCCCTGTTAATTCAAAATCAAGACAATTTCCCTTAGACTTGCCCTTGAGTCATTTACTATCGACTGTTTCAAACTATTATTTCCCCTGAGAGTTTGAAATAGCGGGGCCCCAACTGTATGTTAAAAAGATGGTATGGAGTGAAGTGAAGTGTGACTATTTGCAGGAGCGATGTTATTGTGTAGTACTGTGTTAATAATCACTGTGAAGTAGTTTCAAACAGATATAGCACATCCAGAGCTAGTTAATCTAGCAAACATCAAACTCACCCACTAAGGTCTTTCCCAGCCAGTGATGGAAAAGCTCGGATAATGATGTCGCGGATCTCAGAGGCGGTGTTGTTCTTTGTGTATGCGATCTCCGCAACATGCGTGGCATTTGAAAGCCTACTCATTTCTGCTTTAGTCAGAACCGCATTAAGTCTTTTTCCAAAAAAAAACAGTCCTTTGGAATGTGCAATTGCTATGACTCATTTTTGCACACGCACAGCTTCAATCTTTTAAGTAACTTTGCTAACATGAAAGCACACTAAAAGGCACGCTGCTCCAATTCGTATGCATGTAGGTAATGTTGCAAGCATATCGACAAGAAAACTGATGCCACTTTTAATGACTTACGTGCTAAAATGAATGCTGAACAGTAATTGGTTATTTGGGCTGACACTTTGCTCCTTGATTCAGGAAACATTATCTGCCTGTGGTTGAAAATTTATTCAACAGTTGGTTTTTAGATAGCTGTTAAAATTGCAATGTTTCATTTTAAATTTTCCAATTCTCCAATGCTGGACTGAACTACTGTGTCTGGTAAGTAGATTCCTTATGTATAGGAATTTCTTGCCAAAGAGTCACTTCTCTAGCCCAAACTTTCCCCTCATCTCCCTCCAGAGTATAGATCGCTCCCAGTCAAGAATGAGCTGGAAGTAGTCAGTGTTGCACTTTAAAGCATGGAGCAAAGTCATTTTTCTTGGGAGCTAAGGCCATGCTATTGCTGTGCCACTGCTGTGCCAAACTCAATACATGTCAAAAGAACCCAGCAGTGGCATGACAAGGAATGGTTTCAAATGTCGAGTTGTTGCACTCAACTTAATTCAGCATGGCAAACTGAGTGGTTTCAAATGTGATCCGGTCAAAAAGCTCGGCGTGGAAGGATAGAAAAGAAAGAGAACGCAGATGAATTTTTGAATTCGCCAGTAGCCAATTCGTGAAAAAGCCTGTAGAGCATTGAAGATTCATATCTCATTCCTGAGACTTTGGTGTACTACTGATGTTTCGTAAGGCTCATACGCACTAAGCTGACAAAATTTGTTTCGCTCTACTAAATCTTGACAAAATTTGCCTCCAACAAACTTCCAATTTGCTAATCGTGGTACACTGAAAAAATGTTTTTTCCATCAATCAGAGATATCGTAGAGATCCATGAAAATTTCCTGATTGACGTTTTCCTTCAGGACGTGACATGTAATTGAAAAATCTGTCTGACTTTCCACACCCAACAAAATATTTCCTCTGAGGCAGTAGGTCTGTGCCTTTTAAGTTTGGAAAAGGCTTATCAAAATTTGGTAGGAAAAATCATGGTGCCTACTTTATATCCCACTACTGTTGACAGATAAGCAAAATACAGGCCCATATATGATAAACCATACAGTGTAAACTAATAGTTGGTATCATGGTAAATGTAACTCAACACTAGAAATATGAGAAACATTACACTTCAATTATGAAAGCAAAAAAAGTCCCTCATCTCCACCACTCATCCCCTCCCCCCGCCCTCAGGGAATAAGGCAGTGAATACGAACCAGGGTACTTATGCGTAGTTTTATTCTCTGAGCTAATGGAAACCATCTCAAGTTGATCGCATGCTTGTGAGAAGTACAACCAGTCGGACGATATGCGGTAAGCACGATCTAACATGGTGGTAATTAGACTGCGCTTGTACCGAATGTCAACATGGCTCAGGTAGTGGAGTAAAAGGCCCGTGTTGGTTGGTTTTACGTGGACCTTGGTCTTGATTCTGGGGGCTAAGTTTAATAGTTGAGCACTGATGAAAGGAAGCGAGGCATTCCGTTCCACCTCCATAGTAAACTTTGCTGATGGGTGGCAATGGATTAAGGTGTCAAGAAAAATTTCGGCTGATGCTATGTCAGGCATGATGGTAAAGGTATCATAAACATATCGTAGATAATAGGAGGGCAGTTTGCAATCTTGATTGAGTTTGTCTTCAATGGAGCACATGATGTAATTTGTGATGATCTTAAATTAGCATAAATTACTATTTTGCCGGCACGGACCAGAGGGCTGGGTACGGGTTTGAGGTGCGCAGTGTATAGTGGGANAAGCGATTGGAATGTCTCAGTGCGGCCTAATTTGTAAACCCTCAAACATGACTGGAAATTGGTAGAAGCTAAGGGAGGTAGTCATCTCAAAATTACGTAACCTCAGTGATAGTTACTATAATTTTCTTCTCACCAAAAAGGATATTTCACTTACGTATCTTCAGCAGTAAACAGCTTCATTCGCGTCTGCATGACTGCCGACGCCGTTTGAGAACTCGTTTATTTTACGCCGTTATTAAACCCTTTCAATTTATTTGTTTATTATCATTTTTTCCCGCGTGTCCAAACAAAGATTGCCGAGAAAATAAATATCATTTTGCATATCCCACCTACATATGCAAACAACGATTTTAGCGATAACTTTTAGGCATGTCCATGTTTTACGTAAGACGTATCTATCATGAATTGATTGCTCTAGCAAATTCGACCGCTTGCTTTTAACTTGTGGTTCGTTATTTGCTATCCTTTCAAAGTCTTTCTGAGCTTATTGTTTTTTGCAAAAATAATTTAAGAGTAGTGAAAAAATTAGGCGTCTTTTACTTCTAACAAGCACACTCATCAGGTGACATCAGCCATGAGCGTGAAATGTAATTTGTGATGATCTTAAATTAGCATAAATTACTATTTTGCCGGCACGGACCAGAGGGCTGGGTACGGGTTTGAGGTGCGCAGTGTATAGTGGGATTTGAGTTTGTAATAGGTGACAGTTGGCGAGGTGAGACATTCTATGGCCAGCCTTTGCCGTGTTTAGGTTAAGTTTGGTTTTCTTTAATAATATCATCAGTTGTAATCCACTGTTGTACGTTTATTTAGTTCTCTTATTGCTATTATATCACTGTATAAAGCCTTAGGTTTATTATTCTACAGTACTGATGTTAACTAAGGATGCCCTAAAACCCCGAGGGTTGCACCACTGCCTTAGTCGGGGGTACACGTTCCCAATTTTCTCCACTTGCTGGTTTTAGGGTTTTCGTGTCCGGCTTTGGTGCACTTAGCAATTGTCTTTTTATTCATAGCTTG